GTGGCCCTCGTCCCCCGCCAGCCCGGAGGAGCAGAAACACGCATGTACCAACCGTGCGCACGCGTGTGCAGACACGCACACGTGCGCATCGCTCGAGGACGGGGAGGGAGCCCCCATCCCGCCAGGGCTCCTCGCCGGGACGGGGGTCACATCCCAGAGATGACGCTACTTGCGAGGCGGTGCCTCCTAGGGCTCGTTTTATTGAATTAAGCCATTAAATTTAACATAAATCCAGAAGTACTTGAAATGGGAATACTTTTAATGAGGCTGATTTTCTAAGAGCCAATGCTACTATTTATGAAGACAGGACATCACAGGCAGAAGACGATTTAATTGCAGTCCCTCATCGTCCCACCTCTTCACTTCTGACAAGTTACTTTACTACTATTTTCCTAGTTTTCCAATACACTCGCAAAATCAGAAATCCGTATTTCAATCGCAATTACTGATTACGGAAAAAGCTCGTCGGCTCCACGACAAACAGGTTACACGAACAACTCATACATGAGCAACTCGTACGTTAGAGCACTCGTGGCCATTTCTTCACGCCCACAAATATACAGCATTAAAATAAAAAACCACCCTCGCCAAGTAATTTATTATTTCCCTCCGATATGCATGAGATCAGTACGAGCTCCGCAGCTCCCTCAAGGGGCTGTAACAACTTTATATAAAGATATATAACTGAGAGCAAATATAAAATAAAATATTAAATAGTATAAAAGTATAAATAACTGAGAACAAATTATTCTCCAAATACTTTACACAGTAAAGTATTTTTCCCCGAGCCAGCCCGGGGGGCCGCAGCCGGACAGAGGGGGGTCTTGGTGCTGAGCATCTCGAGCCTTACAGCAAACTTTCTCCTTCTGCAAGCGGGTTATTAAAACACTCCTAATTACACAGCACTGATGTTCCTGAAGGATGCAGTTTGGTTTTTACTCGGGAACTGTCCTTATTTTCTGGCTTGTCCCAGCTGGGAGATGCTCTAACAGCTCTGGGAAAGGACCTCAACGTAATTCAACCGTGTGCCGGGCAAATACACCCTTGGGAAGCTACGATTATTTGCTTTTATTTTTTTTTTAAAAGAAGAAAAAAATAATTGCACAAGCTGACACCTCCGGGCAAACACCTCTGCTCCGGGCAGGATGGGCATCGCGAGCAGCCTGCATCGTGCCAGCAATCCCCCCTGAGCCCCCTCCAGCATCGGTCCCGCTCCATCTTCCAAGCCCAAAACCACAAGAGAGGCCACGTGCCGTCAACCCTCCCAGCGAGTTTTGGCAGAAGTGGTAACTTCTGCCATCAGCTCCCCAGAAATCTGCTTTTTTCCCCTCACACCATCGTGTATCTTCTCCAGCACAAGCCCCGCCTGCTTCATCACCCCAAAGCCCCCCAAGACGTCC